GCGGGAAAGGGAATTGAGGGCAGAGGGTGGTGGGAGCAGGGCTGAGGATGGGGGAAGCAGGGCGGAGGGCGGGGCAAAGCAGGGCGGAGGGCGGGGGAAGCAGGGCGGAGGGCGGGGGGAAGCAGGGCGGAGGGCGGGGGGAAGCAGGGCGGAGGGCGGGGGGAAGCAGGGCAGACGACGGGGGGAAGCAGGGGAGAAAACGGGGGGAAGCAGGGCAGAGGATGGGGGGAAGGAGGGCAAAGGATGTGGGGAGACAGGGGGGATGGAAGGCGGTCAGGGGAGGGAGGGAAGGGAGTAAGTAGGGGAAGAAAGGAGAGGGTGATAAGGGAGGGAGATGGGAGCGGAAGCGAGTGCGACGAGAACGGGAAGTGAGGGCAACGTTGGGGAGCGAGGGCGACGGGCAGGGCGATGAAAATGGGAGAGGGGAGGGCAACGAGCAAGGGCCGACGAGGAAAAGTGAGGGCAACGGGGCGACGAGCAGGGAAAAATCGAGGGACGAGAAGGTAAGCGCGGGCGACGGGCAGGGGAAGGGTGAGCGACGGGCTGCTTAAGGGTGAGCGACGGGCAGGGAAGCAGCGAGCGTGAGTAGAAGCGGAGCGAGGGTGACGGGGGAAAGCGAGGGCGACAGGGGGGAAGCGAGGGCGACTGGGGGAAGCAAGGGCGACGGGGGAAGCAAGGGCGATCGGGGAAGCAAGGGCGACCGGGGAAGCAAGGGCGACCGGGGAAGCAAGGGCGACCGGGGAAAGCGGGGGCGACGGGGGGAAGCAAGGGCGACGGGAAAAGCGAGGGGCAAGGGGTGGGGAAACGAGTGTGATGGGTAGGGCACAGGTGGGCGTCAGAGAGTGAGTGACGCCTGCATTAGTGACGGGTTTGGACCTAGAAACGGGAGAATGTGAGTGAAAAGAGTCCGTTGCAGGAATGGCAAAAAACCATAGCAACGCGATCGCGCTGCTGCTGCGTTGACCACGCTACTTATTCGAGTGAACAGGTTGGAAATATAAGAAATGCCAATATACTACGCTTGTTCTTGCCTTGACTAATCGTTCACGAAAACCACATGGACTTCGAACTTCCAGCTTCACTACAAGACGATTACAAGCACGGAAAATCCTGCGTGGACGCAAGAAGACTCAACTTGCACAATAAGCAAGTGCGCGCCGAAGCCCTTGATCTCGGATACTTTTGCCTCCGCATGGTGCGAGCTACCTAGCTAGCGGCTGGATCTAAAGGCTAGTCGAAATTGGAGCACAGCGGGGCACCGGCCTAAAATCTGTCGAAATCGAAACGGTCTCGACCCAAAATGAGAAGTACAATTTGCAAATTGCAACTTTAGTTTTTGATCGCGAATCGAAACGAGACCCGAGCGAAACTTAGGCTACTCTGTTACATGGTGATGGTCACCCCTCTCCACACGACCTAACTCGACCTCCTTAGTTTAGGGAGCCCACTAGTTTTGGGGCAGCTATCGGAGCATCAAAACCCTAGCTCAGCCCGCTAGCAACCCGATCAGAACCACGTCGTTGCAAGACAGTTACAAGCCAAACAACACGCATAAATTTCCACCATCAGCGACACCGAGGAACCCTGTACCGAAGCATAAATTCCCTTTCGAATTCGCCAGACCAAGTTCGCTGGATACCAAAACCACCAGTCCCAGTTCGAAGCATTCGCGAAACCAAAGGCCACCAAAGGCCCTGAGGTGACGTGGCACGCGCTAATTTGGTACCCATTATTCGCATATACACCCCACAACAAAACTTCGCATTTTCCCAATCCCGAATCGCGTAGTTGCCGCGCCTCGATTTCACACCCAAACATCAGCCCTACCACCCGAATTACGTTCACTCCAGTCCACATCTCGAACATAAATACCTCCCAACGAAATCCCAGCAAATCGTCCAGCCAGCTCATCTTACTCCCTGATTACTGCCATCTGCAGCTAGCCCGCCTCCTTCAGCTTAGTACCATGGCTGCTCTCTCCTCCGCCACCGCGGCTTCCGCCGCTTCCGCGTTCGTCGGCTCTAGCGCGGAGCTCGCGGCGAAGGTCCGCAACGTGGAGTGTCGCGTCACGATGCGCAAGGCCGCACCGTCTGACAACCTGAGCCAGTGGTACGGCCCGGATCGCAACCTATTCCTCGGCCCGTTCAGCTCACCTCCCTCATACCTGAAGGGCGAGTTCCCCGGCGACTACGGGTGGGACACGGCGGGGCTGTCGTCGGACCCCGAGACGTTCGCGAAGAACCGCGAGCTGGAGGTGATTCACTCGCGCTGGGCCATGCTCGGCGCGCTTGGCATCGTCTTCCCCGAGCTGCTGGCGCGCAACGGCGTGCCGCTGCAGGAGGCGGTGTGGTTCAAGGCGGGCGCGCAGATCTTCTCCGAGGGCGGGCTCGACTACCTGGGCAACCCCGCGCTCATCCACGCGCAAAGCATCCTCGCCACGCTCGCCGTCCAGGTATGCTCGTTATTCAACACCCTCTCACGGTCACCTTCTTCCTGCGCTTGCCATCAATGTGCGCTCTGTCGTCTTTTGTTTTTTTCCCGTCACATTCCCTTCCTTACTATCCTGTCAGATCCGCCGCGATATCACCTTGTCTCCAGGACCCATTTTCCCAGTCCCTTCCTTTTCCTCGTCGTTAGAGTCTGGCGATCTGCACAAAGTACAAACTCTCACGCATCTTACGTTACGTGGTAACCCGATGTCGTGTTCTCCAGGTGGTGCTGCTGGGCGCGGTGGAGAGCTACCGCGTGGGCGGTTTGGAGGGGTTCCAGGAGGTGGAGGATCCGATCTACCCGGGCGGCGCGTTCGACCCGCTGGGGCTGGCGGACGATCCCGACGCGGCGGCGGAGCTGAAGGTGAAGGAGCTGAAGAACGGGCGCCTGGCGCAGGTGTCGGCGCTGGGCTTCTTCGTGCAGGCCATCGTGACGGGCAAGGGGCCCCTCGAGAACCTCGCGGACCATCTGGCTGACCCCACCGCCAACAACGCGTGGGCGTACGCGCAGAACTTCGTCCCCGGCGCGTAGAGGGGTGGAGAGAGGTCAGCTTGGGGCGTCAGCTACCGTTGATGTACAGCTGGTGAAATTGCACATATCTGTACAGCCGCAGCTGTAAAGTCATGATCTGTGTGTATGTATGATTTCGAGGTCTTTGAATCTTATCACTGTCAGAGGTCCACTGGGGATCCTCGATGATCCTAGGGAAGGGTTACAGGCACGTCGGCCTGGGGGGTTATGGGCGCACTCACCCGCTATATAAACAAGCCATTTTATCCCAGTGGTTAGTGGCTGGGATTCTGACATGGTATCAGAGCGAAGGTCTCGGGTTCGATTCCCGGTGTGTGCACTTCGGGCATCCCAGTGCGGGGGGGTGTCAGAGGTCCACTGGGGATCCCCGATGATCCTAGGGAAGGGTTACAGGCACGTCGGCCTGGGGGGTTATGGGCGCACTCACCCGCTATATTAACAAGCCCTTTTATCCCAGTGGTTAGTGGCTGGAATTCTGACACTCACATCCCACACAACACATTCCCATCACTGAGCCAAGCCTTTCTCTGGTTAGGTGGCTCTATATGCAACCTCAAGAAGCGAGTAGAAATGCTGGGTAACAATCTTAACCTGATCTGATCTGTGATGTGGAGGTTTGGCCATTCCAGAGGTTGGAATTGGGTTCTTGCTTGGATTCACTAAGGTGGCTCTAATCTTGGGGTACTTATGATACCTGGGTTACGTTCTCAATTCGCGGTGGAAGGCCAAAATATACAATGTACTGTGTGGTGCGATGATGAATGGTCAGGCACAGTTCATGCAATAAGCGGCCCGAAAATGACGAAGGTTTGACCATTTTGTGATGGAAATACCATACTGTCTGTGAGGTAACGAGCCAAGCATACGTCAAACACAATACCCACCCTCCTCCGTGGTTCCCCAGACCGGACCCACACCTTCTGTCAACTTCCTTCACACACAACATGAACTCAAAACGAGCGACAGCTCATGCATTCATCCTATTTCTGATTTTCCTCACACGCACATCCTCCGTCTCCTCCCCCCCACACGCCCAGTCATCCCCACAGTGCTCCACCCCCAGCGCCCTCCTCATGCGCATCACATCCTTGCTGAAGGTCGACCGCGGGGTGCCCCAGAACACGTGTGCATGCACACACACCATCTTCTCCACCGTGCTTCTCGTGCTGCTGTGGGCTATGATGCCCGCTGCCTGCAGCTCTGCTGCTCCTGGCGCCGCTGACTTGGAGCGAGGGTACTGAACAATGGATAGCTCGCCCCATACCAGGGACTTGAGCATCTGGGAGAACCAACGGAGCTCCTGAACAGAGGAGGGGTGGGTGGGAAGATGGGAGAAGGGATGAAAGGTGCGCCCCAGAACACGAGTGCATGCACACATACCATCTTCTCCACCGTGCTCCTCGTGCTGCTGTGGGCTATGATCCCCGCTGCCTGCAGCTCCGCTGCTCCTGGCGCTGCTGACTTGACACGGGGGTACTGGATAACGGATAGCTCTCCCCATACCAGGGACTTGAGCATCTGGGCGAACCAACGGAGCTCCTGAGGGAACAGAGTGAGGGAGGGCAAGCATATGGAGTGAGGGTACTGAATCATTGACAGCTCGCCCGCATACGAAGGACTTGAGCATCTGGGAGAACCAGCGGATGAGGGGAGCGGATGGGAGAATGGACAGGTGTGATGTTTTTGAGCCGACCGCGGGGTGCCCCAGAACACGTGCGCTGCAGCACACATCACCTCCACCGTGCTTCTCGTGCTGCTGTGGGATAAGAGCGCATCGCTGTTTGATCGCACGCGGACCACTTGATCGTATCCTGCTATTCCCCGCTCTCACCTGGTCGGTTGTATCTGCGGCGATGAAGAGAGTCCGCATAGGTTGCTGCTGCTTCATCCCACTTAATTCTGCCCCCTCCTTCACTCCAGCAGCAACAGCCACAGCAGCAGCAGCAGCATTGAGGGCATTGATCCGATCAGCCACGCATCTAGCAATCTGCGACAGCGGTAACCAGCACCGGAAGCCCGGCCTCAGGCAGTGCGACGCTCTCACTCACCTGGTCGGTTGTATCCGTGGCGACAAAAAGAGTCCGCACAGGTTGGTGGTGGTGCTGCTGCTGTTGTTGCTCCTGCTCGTTCCCATCCTTCCCTCCAGCACCACCACCTGAAGCAGTAGCACCAGCAGCAGTTGTATCTGTGGCAGCAGCAGCAGCATTGAGGGCATTGATCCGATCAGCCACGCATCTAGCAATCTGAGACAGCGGTAACCAGCACCGGAAGCCCGGCCTCAAGCAGTGCGTCGCGAAATCCGTCCGGCGCAGGTGCAGGGCGGCGAAGCGTGTGCCGAGCACACGCCGCGCGAACGCGTGGGCGGCGGAGAGGGTGGCGGGGTGCGGGCGCATGGCGAGGCGGCAGGACGGCAGGATGGGGACAGCACCGTTGACACCGTCGTACAGACCAGGGAGACCGTCCGAACTCGCATGACCTTCTAGGAGCAGGTTTGTTTGCGATGCTTCCACTTCTCTCAAATTTCCCCCCATCTTTTCCACATCTCCCATCTCCCCAACTACCTCCCTCACCTCCCCTTCGTCCACCTTCCCTGTGACCTCAAAGACGTCTCCCAGCCCAATGACTTGCTCTGTGCGGCGGCCAAAGAAGGAGAGGAACTGGCGGAGAGACACGTTGGCGGCGGGGATGGGGGGTGCTGCACAGACTCGGGCGAGATATGCCGGGTCGTTTATGTTGGAATCTTTACCAGCACCCTCGCTAGTGTCACCACCATTACCACTAGTACCAGCAGCAGCACTAGTACTACTACTGGTGGTGCTGGTACTATCAGCACTGTTGCTGTCACCGGCTGTAGCACCATCAGTAACCCCACCACTACCATCGTCATCATCATGGGGTAACAGCTTTGCCCACGGAGCCTCGCGAATGAACTGCTGACACGTGGCACGCACTGATTCGCCGCCGTGCCACCACCACCACATCTTCACCTCCACCTCCCTCCTCCTCCCCCTCCCCCCTCTCTGATTCCACAGTCCCCCCACCCTCCCTAGCCACCCCTCTCCACCGCTCCCAACCCCCTCGCCTCTCATATATTCACCCACAGTGAGCACTCGCCCCTGCCCCACACACTGCTGCAGGCCTGCCACGTCTAAAGCCACTCCCAGGTCCATCCACTCTGCTGGAGCCCCTGATAAAACACCTGATGATACACCTGATGCTCCTAATACACCTGATGAGTCACCTGACGCTGCAATTGCCCTCCTATCAGGCATAATGGTAGCAGTTATGCCAGGAGCAGGTGTATTAGCAACGGGTTCCTTAGTAGCAGGTATACCACCCCTTTCGCCCGTCCTCCCTGTATGCAACAGTCTCCGCCCCTCTCCTCGCTCTCCCACGCGTCTCTCCTCCATATCCTTTCGCTTGCTTCCCTCTCTGCCCACAAGCCGCCTGCGAGTGTTGCTCGGCACTCTCGAGAGGGGTAAGCCGCTGACAGATGCATCAGGGAGTGAGTGTGGAGAGGTGCTGAAGAGAAAGGAGGAGAGGGTAGTGGAGGAGGAGAGTGAGTGGGACTTAGCAGCAAAAGAGCCAGCAGGGTTCCCTTCGCTCCTCAGCCCGGGTTGAAACCACGACCCGTCGGGGCGAGAAGCACCAGCAGCAGAGGCGGGATGCGCTACAGGCAGCAATAGGGTGCGGTTGAGCAGAGCTGCAAATGCGAGGTACCTGGAGGGGCAGAGGGGGAGAGGGGCAGAGGGGGAGGGGGAGGCTAGGAGTCGTCTCACAACAACGTGCAAGAGGCACCAAGGAATCATGCCTCCTCGTGCCGAAAAGAAGTAGCACCAACAGCAGAGGCGGGATGCACTACAGGCAGCAGCAGGGAGCGGCTGAGCAGAGGCGAGGTACTTGGAAGGGGCCGAGGGGGAGAGGGGGAGAGTGTTAGAGGGGGAGAGGGGGAGAGGGGGAGAGGGGGAGAGGGAGAGAGAGGGAGAGGGAGGTTGTTGTGAGACGTGCAGGTGGCAAGCAAGGAGCACCATAGTGGTTGGGGTGGGAACTTTTGATTGGACTGAAAGTTCGTCTCGTTATCACACAGGAAGGGCACAGGGGGAGGGGGGATCTGAGATGTGACAGAGGTAGCGGTTGGGGCGCGCGGGATGGGGGGCGGAGGGTGGGGATATCAGGGGATGGATGGAGCAAAAGAGTGGTGAGACAGGGAAAAAGGGAGAGACAGAAACGGAAAGAGGGATAGTGTGTGTAATACATTTGCCTTGCATGTGTTAAAACTGCCGCCAATATCAATGAAAGGACTGTAAGAAAGAGGGGAGGGAGGGTTGCGAGGAGCCAAAAAGGATTTTCAGGGGGGGAGAGAAGCAGAGCAGGTGGTTGGAGGTGCGGCCATGCGTGCTGTGGTAAGCTGGTAGCGGTGGGGGTGGGGGTGGGGGTGGGGGTGGGGGTGGGGGTGAGGATGGGGGTGAGTGTGAGGATTCTCAAGGATGGAGCAGAAGAGGGGTTTCAAAACAAGAGAGAGCAGAAACCCACCTTCGGATGCAGAGCAGGTGGTTGGAGGTGCGGCCATGCGTGCAGGTGGCAAGAAGGTAGCGGTGGGGGTGGGGGTTCCAGGGAATGAGGCGGGGGGGGGAGGGGGTAAGAGAGAGGCGGAGATGGGGGAGAGGGAGTGGGTTGTCGGGTCGGTGCGACATACGGGGGGGAGGTGGGAGGGAGTGAGGCGAGAGAGGAGGAGGGAGAGGTGTGGAGGGAGGGGAGTGGTGGGTGAAAGAGGAGGAGAGGAGGAGGGGTTGTTGCGAGTGGTGTTGAGTAGCTGAGTGGGATGAGGATGGGCAGGGAGGTGGGAGTGGGAGAGGTGGAGTGGAGCAGGAAGCATGTGGGTGAGTGGTGGAGGAGGCTGATGAGGGAGAGGTGAAGCAGGGGCTGTAACGTCAATACTGGAGTTCATTCACAGAGTGACGAAGACGGAGGGGTAAGTAAGCCAGGGGAACGAGGAAAATTTGGGACAAAAAAGAGACAATAAGAAAAGTAAACATCCCAGGCGATTTTTGACTTGGTGCAAACGTCATTACGGCGAAAGTATACATCCCAGGGATGGGTAGTAACAAAGGCCAGGACTCAGAACATCTTTAAAAATCTCACCTGTTCGGATTCAGCCATCCTGGCTTCACCATCCCTTGCTCTTGATTCATCCCACTCATCCCCTTCCACCACCAACTCTCTCCCTGCTTCACTGCCGCTGTTGCTGCCTCTGCTCCCACCACCAGCAGCACCACCACTGGCAGCACCACCACTGGCAGCACCACCACTGGCAACAGCAGTATCCACCCACGATGGCAAGTCATCCTCCTCATCCTCATTCGCACCTCTCCCTTCCCTCTCCCCTTCTCCCTCCTCCATTTCCTCAGATACCCCCCTCCCTTCTCCCATTCCCTCCCTCTCCTGCTGTAAGCTCTTCAGCATCGCATCCACTGTAGCTATCCTCGTTTTAAGGATGCGCTCCAAACGAATCAGCCCCACTGCGGCAAGAGTCCTGTGAGTCTCAGACTGATTCTTATCAGCCGAAAGCGAGACTGTGCTGCTGCCCTCTCCCACTCCACCTGCTGCACTGCTCAGGCACAAGGGTACATGGAAGCATGGCAAAGAGGCATTACGGTGAAAAGGCAACAGGGCGACACACACATACATGGGCTGCTGTCATCCCGACATGTACTAACATATTCATACTAACATATTTCATATTCGTACTTGGTTTTCAACAAGTAGAAAAAACGATACAAAACAAAAGTATGGCTATGCGACTTGTATTCGGTTATGGAATGTTCAGCATATTTGGCATTCGCCAAAAGAATATTCGAATAATAAAAAAAAACTACTTGATGTACAAATCTGTATCATTCATTCTAATTTTGATGGTACGCTATTTATGTGCCAATCATTTTCAACAACGACAAAAGCACTGGCGGTGCGGACAGGCCTATTATAAACTATGGCCCGAGGTCATGTGCGTGGGACAACCTTGTTACCTTGTTACCTTGTTACCGTGTTACCGTGTCTATCTGATACATCACCCGCATGTCCACTGCAAGAACAAAATTTGTATCCGTAATTGGCACAGAACCAGCTATTCGAACTGTATCCGGATCAGGTAGAAGAGGGCTATAACAAAATACGAGATTCCCTGCTCCCCGTCAAAAGAGTCCTATACAAAACCGTATCCGTGTTCATGCCATTAGCTGCATTGTTCAGGCACAAGAGAAGAGCATAACACAGTAACACACATATCTAGAGGTGGTGTGGCGAGGCAATGAACCGATATGCACACACACCTTCACTGTGTCAGCAAATACCTTTTTCCGGTCCCTGTAAGTCACCTCCAGGGGGAAAGTGGACCAATCTCACCTCTCTGCACCGACTCATGCCATGCATCTTCTCCTTGTTGTCGCTGCTGCCGTTTCCCTTACCATTGCTGCGGTTCCGACTGATGGCAGCCCGTTGGAGTGCTCATTGCAGTCACATGCGCCAAGAGGGAAGGTGTCCAATCTCACCTCTCTGCACCGACTCATACCATGCTTTTTGCTGCTTCTGCTGCGGCTGCTGATGCTCGTGTGGTTGCTGTTGTAGCAACATTTCAGTCACGCGGTCTAACGGGGAGACGGGTATAATCTCACCTCTCTGCTCCGACTCGTGCCATGCTTCTTGCTGCTGCTGATGCTCTTGTGGTTGCTGTTGCAGCAGCATTTTAGAGCGCTCGTTGCACTCTCCACCAGCTCTGTGCGACCCAAAGCTGATCCCCGACCAGAGGAAGTAGGCCTGAAAGGAAGGGTGGGGGAAGAAGGGGGGGGGGGGGGGGGGGGGGGGGGGGATAACACAAAGTCTTTTATAAAGGCGCCTCAATATAGCCCCTTGCACCAGGGGGGTTGGTAACCGTGCAAGCTCTGTGCGACCCAATGCTGATCCCTGACCAGCGGAAGTAGGCCTGAGCGGAGGGGAGGAGAGAGAAGAGGGGAGAGGTGAAGGGTGGGATAACCGTGAAAATAGCTGACCGCACCAGGGGGGTTGGTGTGTGCAAGCTCTGTGCGACCCAATGCTGATCCCTGACCAGCGGAAGTAGGCCTGAGCGGAGGGGAGGAGAGAGAAGAGGGGAGAGGTGAAGGGTGGGATAACCGTGAAAATAGCTGACCGCACCAGGGGGGTTGGTGTGTGCAAGCTCTGTGCGACCCAATGCTGATCCCTGACCAGCGGAAGTAGGCCTGAGCGGAGGGGAGGAGAGAGAAGAGGGGAGAGGTGAAGGGTGGGATAACCGTGAAAATAGCTGACCGCACCAGGGGGGTTGGTGTGTGCAAGCTCTGTGCGACCCAATGCTGATCCCTGACCAGCGGAAGTAGGCCTGAGCGGAGGGGAGGAGAGAGAAGAGGGGAGAGGTGAAGGGTGGGATAACCGTGAAAATAGCTGACCGCACCAGGGGGGTTGGTGTGTGCAAGCTCTGTGCGACCCAATGCTGATCCCTGACCAGCGGAAGTAGGCCTGAGCGGAGGGGAGGAGAGAGAAGAGGGGAGAGGTGAAGGGTGGGATAACCGTGAAAATAGCTGACCGCACCAGGGGGGTTGGTGTGTGCAAGCTCTGTGCGACCCAATGCTGATCCCTGACCAGCGGAAGTAGGCCTGAGCGGAGGGGGGGAGAGAGAAGAGGGGAGAGGTGAAGGATGGGATAACCGTGAAAATAGCTGACCGCACCAGGGGGGTTGGTGTGTGCAAGCTCTGTGCGACCCAATGCTGATCCCTGACCAGCGGAAGTAGGCCTGAGCGGAGGGGAGGAGAGAGAAGAGGGGAGAGGTGAAGGGTGGGATAACCGTGAAAATAGCTGACCGCACCAGGGGGGTTGGTGTGTGCAAGCTCTGTGCGACCCAATGCTGATCCCTGACCAGCGGAAGTAGGCCTGAGCGGAGGGGAGGAGAGAGAAGAGGGGAGAGGTGAAGGGTGGGATAACCGTGAAAATAGCTGACCGCACCAGGGGGGTTGGTGTGTGCAAGCTCTGTGCGACCCAATGCTGATCCCTGACCAGCGGAAGTAGGCCTGAGCGGAGGGGAGGAGAGAGAAGAGGGGAGAGGTGAAGGGCGGGATAACCGCGAAAATAGCTGACCGCACCAGGGGGGTTGGTGTGTGCAAGCTCTGTGCGACCCAATGCTGATCCCTGACCAGCGGAAGTAGGCCTGAAAGGAAGGGGAGAGTGAAGTCTGGAGAGTGAAGTGGGTGAGTGAGTGAGAGAGTGAGTGAGTGAGTGAGAGTGCTGATCAATTCTCTCTCTCCCTCGTCTAATCTTCACACACTCTCTCGACCTCGACTAATCTTCACACACTCTCTCTCCCTCGACTAATCGTCACACAATCTCTCTCCCTCCTCTAATCGTCACACACTCTCTCTCCCTCGTCTAATCTTCACACGCTCTCTCTCCCTCGTCCGATCGTCTTACCTGCGACAAGCACAGGAGGTGGACAGACCGCCGCATGAGCGCCGCGAAAGAAGGACGCCACGGACGCATGAGAAGCGGTTCTTCTCACCCAATCGTCATTCTATATCTCTCCCCCGTCCGATTGCCTTACCTGTGAGAGGCAGACGAGCAGCAGCAGCAGGTGGACAGAGCGCCGCATGAGCGCCGCGAAAGACGGACGCCACGGCGGCACGAGCGCCGCGAAGGACGGCCGCCATGGCCGCATGAGGCGCGGCGAGTGCTTCTCCGTGCGGGAAGCGCAAGAAAGGTCGGAGCTAGAACGAGTTGGAAGTAGTTAAACAGAACGGGTAGGACGAAGGAATGTGGGTCGAAGGCGTGGGTAGGTTTAGGCTGGGTCCAAAGAGCGGGTCAGCAGCGGAGAAGATTCTAAAGACGTCTAGGCTGGGTCGTAGAAAGTCAATCCGGCGTCGCGGAAGCGCTGAGGGGCGACGAGGGATCGTAATTTCCTGCTGGCGGAATGAGCAGAGGAACCAGCAACAGATCCATAAAAGTCTCGCAATATGACCACAACAACTTGCGTTTGCTGTCTCCGTAAAAGTTGACTGACAATATCGAGGAAAATGCAAGCTCAGGAATTTGGGGGATCAGCGGAGTCACGGATCAGGGATCAGGTCGTTCACACGCTAAACCGTTTTGAAGCAAACTGAAACGGTTTGTATTCCCTTGCAAGTCTGGCGTGGCGACGGCGGGAGTATTCTGTTGATGCGTGCGAATGATGCGCTGCTTTCGTCAGAAGTTCTCGATATTATCGTGACCTCTGCGAAGGTCGTGAAGGATTCGCGACTTCGACTCGCATCTATTTTTTCAAGGGCAATTACCTCCTCGGTAACACTTATTGAGCTCGTTTGCACGGGAGATAAGCCACGTGTCCAAATCGTAACAAAGGTATCTTCTCATCGCCACCGTGGTAACCAACATTTCCGAAATGGTCAACATTATTGCCTGAATGGTAATGAACAGTGCTTCCGGGATTCCTGGCTGGTAACTTCGCGTTCGTACTAAACTGTACACCGTACAAGTAGGGTTTGACTCAGCCGAAACGAAATCAGCTTGTACGGTGTACAGCTTAGTTCGAACGCGAAGTTACCAGCCAGGAATTCCGGAAGCACTGTTCATTACCATTCAGGCAATAATGTTGACCATTTCGGAAATGTTGGTTACCACGGTGGCGATGAGAAGATACCTTTGTTACGATCTGGACGCGTGGCTTACCTTCCATGCAAACGAGCTCAATGAGTGTTACCGCTGAGGTAATTGCCCTTTTTTCAACTGTTACCTGAAGCAGATGTGTGCAATTACTTGAACAGGTTAAATCCAGGAGTATTCTGTTCTGTGATGCGGTTGAATACGGTGAGATGGCCATCCATCATCCGCACAATGGTCAGTGGGACACAATCGGAAGCAGGCATGATTTTCCAAGGTTATGATTAGTGCCGAGACGCGTTATATCGCGGAAACATGGCGAAGCTGTGTTATTATGACACGTGGTCTGCGTTAGGCACATTCATGCGATAAACCTAATGACTCGCGCGGCTCCTGTAATCCACCAGCAGCACCTCTCGATGGCGGGGACTTTCGCGAATTCGCGAAACTCGAGAGCTTCGCGGAATTCGATGACCGATCGGGGCACCGACGAGGCGCCTAGGAAACTTGCGCCTAATTCTATCGTCCCGCCGCTCCGCTCTCCGTGGCTCGCACTATTTGCGTTGCTGCTGGTGCTGTCGCTGAGGCTTTCACTGGCCGATGACGTGTCGAACTGTGATTCGCTGGTCAGTGGTTACGATCCATCCATCGTTCGCTCTTCTCGCATTTCTTCGTCTCCTTCTCTTTCCTTTCGCCATTTCTGCTCCCCTGCTCACCCCTCTTTCCCTCTGCTTTCCCCCCATACCCTTCTCTCTCCCCGGGTTCCCTTCGCCATATGCCTTTCCTACTTTCGTCTTTCTTCTTCCTACACGCTCCTCCCTGCCGGCGGGCCGAGAACGGAACACCTATTCCTTTTTCTGGAATTTACGCCGCTTTTCCCGTTCCCATTCTCAACCTCCCCTCTCTCCCCCCCCCCCTCCCCCCTCCCCCCCCCCCCCCCCTCTTTTCCACCCCCTCTCACCCCCCTCCCCCCCTCGATCTCCATCTCTCCCATATCTCCCCTCTCTCCCCCCTCTTCATCTCATTTCAAGCCTTGTTCTCTCCCCCGTTGGTCAATCTTTCCATCAGGGTTCTTTCCTCCCTTCTTCACGCCTCGCCCCCTCCTCTCACCTGCGCTTTGGCTTCCCGGAGCACCTCTGTGGCGACTGGTGGAAGGAGTATGTGAAGCTGCATGCACGCATGCGGGAGGAGAGCAGGCTACAGCACACACAGGCACAGGCACAAGCTCAAGCTCAACAAGCCCAAGACCAGGCACAATCCGAAGCCCAATCCCAAGCACAAGCGCAGTCCCAGACAGGTGTGGCAGCTGCTGCTGTTACCGATGCCACTGCGCCCGCCCCTACTGCTGCTGCTGCCGCTTCAGCTCCTCTCCTCTCACCACCACCCCTCTCCTCCTCCTCCTCCCCCTCCCCTCCCCCTCTCCGCTTTCTCACATATGAGGTCCTCTTTGGGTGTGGGGGGCTGGGGGACGCCCTGATTGGCCTGGCCGCCGCGTTCACTGTAGCACTTTTGGACGGACGTGCCCTGATTCTCAACCACCCGTGCCTGCCGCAAGCCTTTGACCCCGCCCACGTTGACTGGCGGTTGACTGACGACGTCCCCATGGAACCTTCCAGGAAATACACGTACCTTCCGCCTCCTGACGTCGGCCCTGTTGCTAATTCACCACCGGCTGCTGCTGGTGCTGCTGCAGGCAGTGAGGCGGGCAGTGAGGCAGGGGGAGAGCCGGCAGAAGCAGAAGTGCAGGCGGGGGAGGTGGTTCGGCTGAACCTGAAGAATCGTGATGTTGATTTGCAGCCACTCTTCTCCCGCCTCGCCCCCGCCGCCAACATCCTGCTGCGCTGGAACCGCGGCGTGCTCACCCGGCTCTTCATGGAGGCTTATAACGCGGACAGGGAGGCTTATAACGCGGATAAGGGAGGGGAGGAGGCGGGGGGAGGGGTGGGGGCGGAATGGGGCATGAAGGGCAGCAGGGAGTGGGCGTTGAGGTTGAGGAGTATGGGGCTCAGGCTGCCCCTTGCGACGGGATGTTTCCTGCGCTTCCTTCTCAGGTGCTTACTCAGGTGCCGTTTCAGGTGGGATGGTGGCAGGGCAGCAGAGAGTGGGCTTTGGGGGTGAGAGGATTGGGGCTCGGGTTGCCGCTTTCAATGGGCTGTTTTCTGCCCGTCCTACTCCGGTGCATGCGCCTCAGGTGTCGCCGTGGGTGCATGACTTGAGTGATTGCCTCGTGTGATTGCCTCGGGTGATTTCCTCGGGTGATTGCCTTGGGTGATTGCCTCGGGTGATTGCCTTGGGTGATTGCCTCGGGTGATTGCCTTGGGTGATTGCCTCGGGTGATTGCCTTGGGTAATTGCCTCGGGTGATTGCCTTGGGTGATTGCCTCGGGTGATTGCCTTGGGTGATTGCCTCGGGTGATTGCCTTGGGTGATTGCCTCGGGTGATTGCCTTGGGTGATTGCCTCGGGTGATTGCCTTGGGTGATTGCCTCGGGTGATTGCCTTGGGTGATTGCCTTGGGTGATTGCCTTGGGTGATATGGCCTTGGGTGATTGCCTTGGGTGATTGCCTCGGGTGATTGCCTTGGGTGATTGCCTCGGGTGATTGCCTTGGGTGATTGCCTCCTGTGATTGCCTTGGGTGATTGCCTCGGGTGATTGCCTTGGGTGATTGCCTCGGGTGATTGCCTTGGGTGATTGCCTTGGGTGATTGCCTTGGGTGATTGCCGCGGATGATTGCCGCGGGTGAATCCCTCCTCTCATGGCATTCCCACAAATCCCTTTAGTTCCATTCCGCATTCCGCATGCACTCCCTGGTAGCCCCCACTTCTCAGTATCCCATAGACTTGTATGACGCACGCCCACACTATCGCTTGTTGTTCCTCCATTTCCCCGGTACCACCCTCTTATCGGTATCTCATAGGCTTGTATTCAAACCCTCCCACACACCTCCACCATGCATGCACCCCCACTCTATCGCTTTTTGTTCCCATGTTCTTCCATCCGCCTTTTTCTCCTCTCCCCCCGTCCTCCTCTTCCCGCTCCCAACTGCGCCTAGCCTCCAGACCAAAGCCTGAGGTGTGGCAACTCATCCGACCGTTCGATCAGCAGCTGCGGGGCGATCGGACGGTTGTGATTGGTCTGCACGTTCGGTTCGAGGACAGGGCAGTGTGGGGCGAGGGAGGGGAGGGCGCGCCTTTATCACTGTCAGAGGATCGAGTGAGGGAGATGGTGAATGATGTTCGACCCACTCTTGAGTGTGCCAAGGTATGTATCAGAGCGGTATGGGGGATGTGAAAGGAAGAGGAGAATGAGGGAGAGGAAAGAGGGAGGTTGCGCCGTTATCACTCCCAGAGGAGCGAGTGCAGGAGATGGTGGGAAGAGGTCAAAGAACTCGTAAGTGTGTGGATGTGAGGAAGGGGTTTGTGGGAGGCGGGGCTAAGAAGAGTGAGGAAAATGAAGGAAAGGGGAGGGTGTGCGTTTATCACTCACAAGGTGGAAAGGGTCCGACGCACTGCAGGGTGTGTGAAGGTGGGGAAGGGGTTCACAAGAGGCAGAGGAAGAAGGTGAGTGAGAGCCATCGATCGCGATTGTAAGGCAAGGGGCTTACAAGAGGGAGATTCAAGAGGGGATAAAGTAAGGCACGCAACTATCACTCTCAGAGGAATGCATGAGGGAGACGGTGGAAGAAGGTGAGTGAGAGCCATCGCTCGTGATTGTAAGTCTAGGGGTTCACAGGGAGAGGAAGGCCGGAGACGGAAGGGGCCCCGGATGCAAAAGGGTGTCGTTTGATTTTCCCCCCTTTGATCGGGTCCATTATTATTGTTCCATAGATTGCTCTTTCCCGTGGACCCTCACCCCTCTTCCTTCACCGCACTTTCTCCGCCCTCAAATGGTTGCTGCTCTGCCTTATTGCCCCTTCTCTTGCTCAGCACACCCCACTCTTTCCCCCGTTTTCCCTTCACCCGCAGCGAGTGCAGGAGTGGCACGTCCCCTCCTCCCTCCCTGTCAAGTGGTTGCTCCTTTGCAACTCCTTGCAAGTCAAAGAGGCCATTCGCAAGCAATACCCGGATAAGGTGAGGCACTCACAGACAATACCCCTACAAGGTGAGGCATTTACAAGTCAAGCCTATCTGTAAGTACCCAGAAATGATGAGGCTTTTCCAAAAAAACTGGAGTCAATCTCACTGTTGAAGATAAGACCTTATCTTGCGCCTTAGAATAGGGAGGTGACTATTGAGGCGACTCAAAAGTCACAAAGTAAGGCCTTAGCTTCCACCTTACAATAGCGGGTATGATCACCATGCGCCGAAACATGTTTGCCTAAATCTAGTGTTTGAATGGAGCTGTACGTTCGGATCTTACTCGAAGGTTTTCTTGGTTGCTTTTTTTTTTTCGCAAAGTGACTACCATCCCTTTGCTAACACGACCCATCAATCAACAGTTTGCCTCCACTTCTCTTCCCCGTGACCCGCCAGGTGGTAACCACCGACTGCACTCCCTGCCATGCCAACAGCATGAGTGGGAACAACACCAGCATGCAATCCCCTCCCCATACTTCTCCTCCTCAATGCGTGCCCCTTTTCCCTTTCCCCCCTGTCTCCCTTCCTCACCCACAGGTGGTAACCACTGACTTCAATCCCCGCCACACCAACAGCCACTTTCCCCTTGCCCCATCCTCCCATTCTCCAATTCCCTAATATCCCTTTCTCCCTTCTTGCCTTCTCAACCCACAGGTGGTAACCACTGACTTCACTCCCCGGCACGCCAACAGCATGAGTGGGGAAGACACCACCAACCCATCCCCATCCACCTCATCTCCCTCCTCTTCCTCCGCTCCCTTCCTCGAGCTCATAGCCGAGTGGTTGCTGCTAGCCTCCTCCCATTTCTTCATCATTCCCAACTCTGGCTTCTCCCGCACGGCTCTGCTTTACTCCATGCACCCTGCAGGGTCGGCGTTTATGCCGCCTGATAATTGCTTCCCTGATGTGCCTGTTAATCTCACATGGCTTGGAACGACATGGAGCAGAGTATAATGATGTATTGTCTAATAGAAATAATTTCTGAAATTTTTTTGTCATGAATAAGAGGCGCGTCACGAATTTAGGCATCACAGTCAATATTCCACTCTGCGCACCTAAATAGATAACATTTCCACCGCACCGTAAGTGTCTTTTACCACACGCTTCTCAACCCAAATGCACCCTAAACATTGCTGATGTTCGCTGTTGAGATAGCTAGGCAAGGTGAGGTTCACTATCGAGAGAAATTTTACAAGTAGGAAAACCCTAAGGGGTTATACCCCACAGAATCTACCCCACTACAGCCTACCAGCAATATAACCCATATAAATTGTCGAGAGAATCAGGCAAGGTTGAGTTCACTATGGAGAGTTTGGTACAAGATAACACAACCTGCAAAGTGTTATCCCCTATAACATCTACCCCACTACAGCCTACCAATATATATCACACATATATATCATTTGACACACCCCCATAGGCAAAGTGGGGGAGAGCAACGGGTCACAAGACCAGTCAAGAGAAGCAAAACAAGCTCAGGGTGGATCACAACGTCACCACACATTCTGAGCACAAGCAAATGGCCACAAGGCCAGTTCACATGCAGAGATATATATGAAGCAATGACAGTACAGTGATGGCTACCTAGCAAGAGCCAGCATACAGGTATATATGTATATAGATCACAGTACAAGCAAAGACTACAGCAAGTGTGGAAGCGTAGGCACAAGGCCTAACAGAGTACAAAAGCGCTGATGATCACCAGACGGAAGTGCCTTGGTGAATATATCAGCAGTGTTGGCCCGAGTGGCCACGTAACGAAGACAAAGCTGGCCTCGCTGCTGCAACTCTCGAGCCAGGAAGTAACGCAGAGCAATGTGCTTCGTTCTATGCTCCAGTCTGTGCTCCTCACACAAGGCAATGGCGGCCTTGTTGTCAACGTACAGCACTGGAGGAGAACGAGGCTGCTCTCCCAAGTCAGTCAGCAGGTAGGTGAGCCAGCGTAACTCCTGTGCAGCCATGGCGGTGGCGTAGATCTCAGCCTCACAACTGGAGCCGAGAACTGAAGACGAGCGTGTAGAACGCCACGAAACTGAACCAGAGCCAAGGCTGAAGGTGTAACCCTGTGACGACCGCTGAGTAGCCAGGTCGTCAACCCAAGAAGCGTCTGAGTGCCCAGTGAGTACAACCTCACTCGTCCCTCCAAGCACTAGCCCCATGCCTGATGTGCTGCACAAGTAGCGCAGTACCCTCTTAGCAGCAGCCATGTGCTCAGGTCGGTGTCGACCAGGAGCCACGTAGCGAGCGAGGAGACCAAGAGGGTACGCGAGGTCAGGTCGAGTGCAAGTCATCAGGTACATGAGGCAGCCGACTAGCTCTGGGTAAGGACCACTCGGCTCTACGGACTCGTCCGAAGGTGGAGCTGAGAGCGTGTGACCTGTAGCCAGAGGAGTGGCCTGTGCTGAAGACCAGGTGAAGCCGAAGCGCTGAAGGACCTGCTGCACCATGTGTGACTGAGTCAAGGTGATGGTGCGGCGTGCTCTGTCCCGGGTGATCTGCAAGCCAAGGTAGCTGCGCAGCTCACCCAAGTCAGTGCACGTGTGTCTCTTTTGCAGCTCCGACTTCACGTGGGCGAGAGCCTCAGTGTCAGCAGTGGCAAAAACCAAGTCGTCGACGTACACGAGGATGTAGAACGGCGGCAGTGAAGTGTCGGTGCGCAGAAACAGCGACGGGTCAGCAGTAGAAGGCGCAAACCCAAGAGCCGCAAGAGTAGTCCTCAGTGTGTCGTGCCACTCACGTGGCGCCTGGCGGAGACCGTAGACCGGCCGCCGGAGGCTCCACTGGGTGCCAGGAGGGAACGACCCAGTGAAGCCCGGGGGGCGGCGCAGCCAGATCTCCTCGTGCAGGCTGCCCTGTAAGAAAGCAGTGCTGAAGTCAAGAGAGTGAAGCTCGTAGTCACGGTGAGCAGCAACGTGCAGCAGCACCCGAAGAGTGGTCATCTTCGGGGTGGGGGAGAAGGTCTGGAAGAAGTCAACTCCCTCTCGCTGACTGAAGCCTCGAGCCACGTAACGCGCCTTGAAGACAGGCGGAGAACCCGGCGGCCGCTTCACCCTGAAAATCCACATGCCACTGACGATGTTCGCCCCAGGTGGGGGAACCTCGTCGACATAGGTGCCTGTGGACTTCCAGGAAGCCATCTCTGCGTCCATGGCTGTCTGCCACTGAGAGGAGTAGGGACTCTCTATCGCCTCTGCGTAAGAGCGCGGAGTCGGGATGTCTGGTGCATCCGGGTCTCCCTCAGGGGCAAGTAGCGAGGACACAAGATGAGGTAAAGCAGCAGCAAGACACTGGAACTCCTCCTGCCTGTCCTCAAGGACGTCCGTGCTAAGAGCACAATCACCCCCGACGGACGGAGGACAGACAGACGCAGACTCAGCAACAAGACTGGCGGCGTAGTCTAGACGACAGGCAGCAGCAAAGTCAACAAGCTCAGCGACAAGAGCAGACGCAGCAGTAGACTCAAAAGACGGGTCAGTGACAACAGTGGCTAGCAGACGCGTGACAGTAGGGTGGTCAGCACGAAACCGGTCAGACTCAGGGTCTGGAACGTCAGGTAGAGAGGACGCAGGAGGAGACGGCAGAGGAACAGGCTGCAGAGCAGAGGAAGGACGACGAACTACGAGGTGTGCGCGGGGGACAGCCGGCTGACGCGAACGAGGAACACGACGACCGGTACGACCAGGACGAGCAGGCGAGACAGGACGCGACACAGGCTCACGACGCTCAGCAGGACTACCAGTCTGCTCAGTGTAAGGAGAAGGAGCAGGCAGCGGTGAGCCAGGCTGTAACGGAAGACCAGTAGACGACGGGAGAGTAAGAACCTGACGAAGAACAGAGTCAGACGGCGGCAGAGACGACGGAGACGGCGGAGCGAAGAACAGTCGTGTCGGCGCAGCTGCATCAGTACCGGCAGCTCCAGCAGCTCCAGTGCCTCCAGCAGCTCCAATACCTCCAACAACTCCTGTCAGAATAACTGAGCAGGAATGGAATGAACTAGCACAGAGTTTGGTACAAGTAGGAAACCCTAACTAAGTGTACCCCCTAAGGTGTAACCCACTACAGCCTACACAATATAAACATACAATGTTTGACAGCTCCAGTACCTCCAGCAGCTCCAGAAGCTCCAGTCCCAGAGCCGACACCTCCAGTCCCAGGGTCTCCACCCTCTGTGTCTCCAGCAGTAGCACCCCCAGAACCAGCATCAGCTCCAGTCCCAGGGTCTCCAGCCTCAGTGTCTCCAGCAGCAGCACCCCCAGAGCCAGCACCTCCAGTCCCAGGGTCTCCAGCCTCAGTGTCTCCAGTACGAGCACCTCCAGAACCAGCGACTCCAGCACCTCCAGTAGACAAAGGTCCAGCACCACTCCTAGCTCCAGCAGCGCGACGCTGACGGTGACCGTACCAGTCCTGCAGCTGCTGTGGGGTGAGAGGCACCCGTGGACGAAGGCGGCTACTCCAAGGAGACCGCGCAACAGCAGACTCAGAACCCTCAGCGCCAGCACCCCCAACTGCTCCAGAACCTCCAGCGTCAGCACCTCCAGGCTCCACACGCGTAGGCTCAGTACCCGCAGACTCGGCACCCGCAAGCTCAGCACCTCCAGGCTCCTCACGCGCAGGCACAGCACCCTCAGACTCGACACCCCCAAGCTCAGCACCTCCAGGCTCCTCACGCGCAGGCACGGCACCCCCAGACTCCGCACCCCCAGGCTCAGCACCTCTAGGCGCCTCTCGCTCAGGCTCCGCACTCCCAGGCTCAGCACCCCCAGAGACAGCACCCCGAGTAGGACCACCTCCAGCAGGACCTGAGTCACCAGTGACCTCTGTGAGAATAAGAGTTGGAAGAGGAGTTGTTGTTGAATTGAGGAGAATGGGGGTTTACATAGGGAATGGGTTGGATCCTAGCCTAGGTGACCATTATTGGACCCCACCCATGAAGTTGGGTTGGGGGATTATTGGTGGGGTCCAATAATGTTGGCCAAGTTGGGGTTGGGCCAACATTATTGGTGTGAACCAATAATTCTACCCAACCCAACCTTTGGGGTCCAATAATTGGACCAAGGTTGGGTTTCCAACCTACAAATTGGGTAACCCCTGCTTGAACACCCAAACTAAGTTTGGGTGCTTATCTCTAGCCTATCCTATAACATCTATGCAGGTTACAAGAGAAGATAGATTCTAACACAACCCCTTAACCTGCAGAGATGTGGAAAGGCTTGAGGGAAGCAACCCCTGAATCAAGGCGCGCCTGGGGGAGCGAGGCCGATGAGGCGGAGAAGAGCAGAGTGCGCAGGGCGAAGAAGTGGTTTGGTGAAGATATCTGCCAGGTTGGCTTCAGCGGCGATCTTGCGAACGGCGATGAGATTCTGTTGGACAAGGTCACGGATGAAGAAATAGCGGAGCTCAATGTGCTTGGAGCGACCGTGAAAAACGGGGTCTTGGGTGAGATGGATGGTGCTGGCATTGTCACACCAGAGGGTGGGGCAGCGCTGGGGAACACCAAGCTCAGCTAGGAGGAAGCAGAGCCAGCGGGACTCTTGCGCGGCCATGGTGCCAGCATAGAGCTCAGCTTCACAGGAGGAGAGGGCGATGGCGGAGGAGCGAGTAGAGCGCCAGCAGATGAGGCCGCTACCGAGGGTGAAGCCATAGCCTTGGGAGGAGCGGCGGTCTGGCTGGCAGTCTGCCCAGGAGGAGTCGCTGAAGCCAGAGAGAAGGGGGGGGGAAGATCCACCCAGTGTGAGAGCGTGGTCCCTGGTGCCACGAAGATAGCGGAGGACTCGCTTGGCGGCAGTCCAGTGTTCCTCAGTGTGGCGGCCGGGGCCGACGAATCGAGCAAGGACGCTGACAGGGTAGGCGAGGTCGGGACGAGTGCACATCATTGCGTACATCAGCGACCCAACAAGCTCGGCGTAGGGCCGGGAGGAGGTGGAGGGGGAGGTGGGTGGCGCAAGCTGGTGACC